GGGTTAGTGTTTAAGGTTTAGGGTTTAGGGTTTAGGGTCCTGAATTCCCGTTCATATCAGCAACCGAGGGTCTTGGAGTTAAAAAGGAGCAGACCACCAGCCGGCACGTAGGGCCGGATCAGCTTGCCTCAAATGCAGGGATTGAGGGTGTGAGGGCTCTTTTGTGGTGGGTTGAGGGTTTAGGGTTCAGGCCTAAACCCTCAACCCGGGTGGGTTGAGGGTTTAGGGCTTGAGGGCTCGTTTGCAAGGGGCTCACCAGAACTTCTCTGGATGAACTATCGGGTTTGAGGGTCAAGGGCCTGCTCAGGGGTTTAGGGGTTTAGGGGTTTCAGGGATTTAGGGTTTAGGATTTAGGGATTTAGGGTTGTAGGGTTTAGGGGTTTAGGGGTTTAGGGCTTTCGGGGTTTAGGGGTTTAGGGGTTTAGGGTTTAGGGGTTTCGTTCCGAACCTATGTCTTGCTGCTGGATACAGAACTGCTCCCAGGACTGCCATGTTGGGGTCTGAATTGAAGACGGTTTAGGGTTTAGGGTTTAGGGTTTAGTTTTTAGGGTTTAGGGTTTAGGGTTGATCAAGGGGTTTTAATGAGTGTTTATGTGGTATTTCTAGGGAGTTCATTCCTTTCTGTAAAGGGTTTACAGGGGCGTTTGGGGTTTAGGGTTTAGGGGTTTAGGGCTTTTAGTCTAGTGCCCAGACTCAGCACCCCACGAACTAAAGAAATGCATCTTGAACTAAAAGGGGGCTTCACATTACATGCTAAAATATAAAACATGTTCCTTGGCTTAACTGAGGGGGTGTGGGCTGTCTAGATGATAGGCTTTAGCGTTGAGGCTGTGTGGCATTGACAGCTATAACGCTGCTAGCTAGCATTGAGGATCACGATGAACAACCAGGCGGTTATTTTGCTGGTGACGACGACGCTGGCGATGCTTGATTTCTGAAATCCACATCCCCGCTCCTGGAGTTTCAGAGGTTAGAGATTCTACAGGAAGTTGTTCTGAAGCCGAACATGATTTGCAAAAAGGCGTCTTTGCTGTCGCGATGCCTGGTAACAGTCTGTGAGCTTGCATATAAACACGAGCAACAGTCGCGATGCCCTGAATGCTATTTCCACATGTTAATGTTGCGGGTAGGAAGCCGGGAGACTTGGGATTTGAAGGCACGTGCTCCTTTCGGGGCTTCGGGGCAGTAGGAGTATCTTATGGTGGTGGCTCTTGAAGGCGTTCCGTGTCCAGGTACTTGTAACAGGGGGGATCTTACTATTTCTGGTCTATATCGGCGCTGCAGGTGCACTTACAACTTTCGCACCACGGCACGCATGAGCGCCCTCGTCTTGAAGGACTGCAAGTAAGACTGCAACAGCCGGATGGGCCAAGGGATTTGGAGTTTAGAGACAAGGAGTGAGGAATTTGGGTGTTATGATCGCGAATGTGTTACATTCTGGTTCTTCCTGACCAGACCACTTCGTCACTTTCACGTCGCTCCCTGAATGGTTTTGGAGCAGGCACTGGGACTGCCAGATAACAGAGTCTGGTGCCTTAGAGCCACGTACGAGCCTAGGCTTGTAAGGATTGAAAGATTGACATGCTCGTTCTTGTTCTACGGCAGACTGAGCTGGAACGGCTGCTGCCCCTAAGGGCTCTATGCACCCAAATATAGCATACACTGGCATACACGTAAGGTTTAGGGTTTTGGGTTGAGGGTTTACCCATAGGCCCCATAGTAGTTCCTTTTTGGGGTTACCTTATAGGATTCTATATATGAATCCCAAAAAGGAACTGCTTTAGGGCCTATGGGTAGGGTTGAAGTTCCTGTATCGGAACCCTATTGAGCTTCAGCATGTGATGGAGCCTTCTAGGGTTTAAGGTTTAGGGTTTAGGGTTTAGGGTTTAGGGTTTAGGGCTAAATCTTCTAGAACCCTTCTAGTACCCTGTAACGCCTCGGTTAAAGGTTTAGGGTTTGAGTTTAGAACTATTCTTGAGAAGATGGCTGCTATACCAAGCGCCGCTAAACACTGAATCCCCATTGCCCTCAAAACGCTAAACCCCAAGCCCTAAACCCAAAACCCCAACTGATTAGAACCGTTCTATGATGCAAAGTCGTGTACTACTAGTCACCCTAGTATCAAACCCAAAGTACACACTCCGACTATTCTTCATGCACTCACCACGGCCCCTGATATTCACCCCGTCTCATATCTACCTCTATAGCTTTTTACTTTCATGGCTCCTGGCGCCTAAACCCAAAGCTCCAGGCCCACCTTGGCAAAATTCTCATCCACGCGGAGGCTCTTGTCTTCCTTGGGCAGCTTCGTGCGATGCGAACCAGGGACGAGAACCGTGCCGGCCATGTTGTGGGTGACCTGCTGCATCGAAGGATTTTGGGCTCCCACCCCCAAAGGGTCCTGTTAACCCTGAAAAGGGGGATGCTTACCCGATGGTTTAGGGTTCAGGATTTCGGGTTTAGAAGCCCTACTTTCTACAATGTGTGTACTTCTGGTTCTATGCTCAAGAAACTCGGGATCCCAATCTTTTTGAGGTTATAGGGCCAGGGAATTTAGAACCAGGTTCCTACAAGAGACCCTGTTATGTAGTACCTGTTTTGGTTACCTCAGTTTCTCAGTCTAGGATCGGAGAAAGAAAGTAGGTTCTTCAATACTTTCTACTACATTCAAGCCTGAAGGGTGCCGTTAGCGGCCCTAGCTGAGGAGGTTTCGATACCCTAAACCCCTAAACCCAACTTAAAGCCTTCGAGACCTAGAACCTAAGAATCTAAACCCCAACCCCTGAACCCACCACATCCTTTTGGACAGCCATAGACGTTCATCCCCTGCAACACAAGTCATATGTCCCTCAGGGTCCGCTTGCTCATAGAGCATATTCTTTGACCTTGAAGCAGTCCCTGCAAAACTAGCTTAATTTCGGCCAAAGTGTATACTATATACCATTGTTGGCTACATGCACTCGTAGGGTCTTCTACCATTCTACCGAACCCCAAAGCCGAAACCTTGCCTGAAGGACTATTTAGGGATTATTTTGAGGCTTACAGATTGACAAGAGCAGAACCTTAGGAAGTAGCGAGGGTGAGAGAGAGAGAGAGAGAGATAATAACTGCAGCAACTAGGCGCGAAACCTGATGCAAGTCAGCAACCCTAAACCCTAAACCTTAGTTCAAACATCGGAAACGTTAATTACCCTAGACCCTAGGCCTCAACTCCCAAACCCGATAATCCTAAGACCTCATCTCCAAACCAGGAAATTGAATTGGGTTTAGGGTTCAAGGTTTAGGGTGCGCTCTGCAACTGTCTCTAAATGCGCGGCCCCACTTTATGGCATCCCCTCCGAAAAAAGCGGGCGTTCGTAGTATGAAGGTGGCGTTGCCACTTATGCCGATGACGACGAGGATGGTGATGGTGATGATGATGACGGTAAATTAAGACTGTGATGGATATGGTGAACACACATAGTCTTCGGACTATGATGGCTTAGTCATGCTTAGCCACTCCATGTTGTGGAATTTCGCAGCAGTCTTATTCAAAGCTCGTTCGACGACTACTGAAACATGTATGAGCTCAACTGCACAATTTCACACAGCGACTGATTAGGAATTCCGGGGCCGATCGTCTTTCTGAAAATACTAGCCTGACGGTACAGTTGCCTGTGCAAACGTGGACAACTACGACAAGAAACGGCTCTGTTGCCCAACACGGGGTTAAACACAATTGCCATCAACACCCTAAGCAGCAAAGGCGAAACCCCGAAACCGAATATAGGGGCCTTAATAATTAGAATAGGGTTTGGGGGTATCTTACATATACTATGTTCATAATAAGGAGCCCCTCACAATAGTATTGGTAATTATTTAGGCCCAGGAAACCCTAAACCCTAATCCCTAAACCTCAGCCCGAAACCGTCAGAGTTGAAGGCATGGAGATGTAGGCCCACCCAAGGACAGAAATCCCACGTCAGAAGCCACGAGGCTAGGGTTTAGGGTGTAGGGCTTAGGGCTTAGGGTTTAGGGTTCAGGGTTCAGGGTTTAGGGTTTAGGGTTTAGGGTTTAGCGTTTAGGGTTTAGGGTTTAGCATTTAGGGTTTAGGGTAATTAACCCAGGGGTTGAACTTTTAGCGTTTAGGGCTTGCCTGAGCCCTAGAAAAAAACACAACATTGATGGTTCCTGCTTCTATAAATCCTTGAAGGGCGACATAAACCCTAAACCCTAAACCCTAAACCCTGTTCGGGCTCCAGAGAAGCTTAGGGTTCAGGATTTGGGTTCTCTTGGTGTAGGGTTTGGGGCTCTTGGGGTTTTAGGGTTTAGGGTTCAGGGGTTTACAGGGTTTAGGGTTTGGGGGTTTTAGGGTTTAGGGTTTGGGGGCTCCTGGGGTTTAGGGTTTAGGGGCTCTTGGGGTTTAGGGGTTTGGGGTTTGGGGTTTGGGGGCTCCTGGGGTTTAGGGTTTAGGGGCTCTTGGGGTTTAGGGGTTTGGGGTTTAGGGTTTAAGGCTTTGGATGGCAGTGTCGCTGCGGAGGGCACCTCCACTGCTGTGTAGAGGCCCTGGACGCTCAAGTGCTTGTCCTTCTTTGTCGGGCTTCGGCTTAGGGGCTTCGGGCTTCGGGTTTAGGGTTTAGAGTTTAGGGTTTAGGGTTTAAGGTTTCCAGTTTAATTTTTAGGGTTTTAGAGTTTAGGGAATGCACCTCAGAACCACCAACTAGTCTGTTCCCTTGGTGTGTTCCGGAGGTTTTCTCCGAGGTGGGGCGAAGCGTTGATATTTACTTCCCGAGATGTGGCGGGCCACAAGCAAGAGGCGGAACACAGGAACCACTCAATTGCACAATCTCCTCTCAGCCGAATCCCTGCAAACTGTACAATCCCAACAACTTCCGCAAAACAGGGCCCTGACAAACGTCATATCCCAACTTCCTGCCGCAAAACAAGACCTCTGGTTCCCGATTCAGGGTTTAGGGGTCTAGGGTTTAGGGTTCACGGGTTTAGGGTTCAGGGTTTAGGGGTTTAGGGGTTCAGGGTTTAGAGAAGGAGGGCTTGAATACTTCAGACATTACGAAGGGTCTAAGATTTCAGTAGGGGTCTCTCGACACATCTGTTCATTTCGAGACGTTGCCTTTCAAAGTGATGTCTTGGAAGGTTAACGATGGAGATTCCGTAGCCTTAGCTCAAGGAAGCTACAGGTGGGGAGTTTAGGGCATATAGGGCTTCTACAAGGCTTCGATAGGGTATATAGACTCTAATATAGACCTTCTATAAGGCTCCTATAGCGGCAACTACCCACCTGAAAATGTCCTAGACTTAGTTGAACAAGTCCCCAAACCTTAAACTTGGGCTCGCATAGCAAAGTCAAGCCTATCCCCACAGCTTAAGTCCGAAGATGGTGGACTGGCTACTAGCCCTAAACCCTAAACCCTAAACCCTAAACCGCTCGATATAGTAGCGGTTTTTAGTTCCCAAGTCGTCGACCCTGGAGCACTTCCCGACACAACAACCTTCAAACAAACGAGGCTCAGTAACCACTGAACAATAATGCCTATCTCTGGCCAAAAACGGTGCTCCGCCAGACCTCCCTAAACCCTAAACCCTAAAACCCTAAACCCTAAACCCCTAGCCCCTAAACCCTAAACCTAAA